CCCATCCAAAGTGCACACACACAGCAGTGAACACACACACACCGTGAACACACACCCGGAGCAGTGGGTGTGATTCACTTGATTCGCTTAATATTGTCTACACACATATTTAACATATATTTAACATTTCTGCACTCACAGACACAAAATGCAAGACTGAAAATTGAGTAAATAAAAGTAAACTATGAATATATTACCCTAGAAAGTGCTGCCCTACCACAATTTCTGATTGCCCCCCAGTCCAGCGAGCCTAGTACCGGGCCTGGTGATAACCCTGATGCGGTTTCTCTAGCTTTAAGGATGGCAGCTTAATATGATGTTTCAGCTCAACTTTGATATGCACATAGCATATTATTAGGTTTGATAGAGAAAGAATCAGCAAAACATCAAACTGAAGATCTGCGTTCACGCATTGATTCTGCTACATAAAGTCTAAGAGGTGAAAAACATAAATGAATAAAACAAGGCGACTTCTGGAAGGCACAATAATTGAGATGAGCACCACGACAGGCCTTATTAAATCCCTGCAAACCTCATAATATTAAAGCAATAATAGCTTCAGCAGTAGATGAGACTGAGGAGAAATGTAACCCATTTAATCCCACCGGTCACAATACTGACCGTAAAGAAGGTTTTCATTTATAAAGCTCTAAAAGTGTTACTGAATGGTGTTTTAGTGCATTTATTGAATCAAATGCATCAAAGCTCCAAAACGAAAGGCTTGTATGTTAACATAAAGATATGACAAAGATTTTCGGTACATGTTATGAATTCACAATTCTGAAGTTTTGTTGAGTGTGGTCACAGAATGAGTGAACATGCTGATGGTCAGATAGTGAGCAGTGGGATAACACTGCATATAAAACCAACTGCAGCTGTTACACTAAACTGTTGCAATGACAAAGTTACAGTGAATATTGCACTAAATTCAAAGTTTAAATGTTACAAATGAACTTTCAGTATTGATGATGTAATACTGGTAGCACTAATATAACAATTTTGTTGGCATGTTTCAATAAAGTAACAATTTTGAAATACGTTGATGGTTGTATTTTTTAATATTTATTTTTATAATTTTTATAAGGGTTTTTATGTGTAGTAGGAACACTAGAATGGGATGAAACAAGAGTTTAAAATAGCTGAGCTGAGATATATGCACATTCTGATGACTGCAGTAATATGTTAATTCATTATACACATTACCCCACCGGTCACAATTTTGACTGACCATAAAACACAAATTTTAACACACTTTTCCATTAAAAAAGACAATTATTGCGCATGCGCGCCCTCTGCTGGTGCTGAGGCGCATCACTACATTCAGTGTAATATTGAGCTTAATCTGTGAACCTCAGTCGTTAAATATCTATAAATAATAAATAAAATATACCAGTATCCGATATCAAGACACAGAGATATTAGTTTACAATCTAAAATTATAAACTCTGTAAATAAATCAATGCTCGTATACAAATGCGACAAAAAATGCAACTACTTTAAGTTTCAGTTTATTGGATGTTTTAAGCTTATAGAAAATTCTGAACAGTTTGCACTGATTGTTTTCTTTTTTTCTTGAACATATTTTATTTGTATAAACTGTAGTCTAAATTAAGCGTTCGTCAAAGTTCATTTACTTTGAGATCATGCTAGCCAGCTGATATCGTTTATGTAAATATCTAATTAATGATCACGTGAGCTGATGAAAGTTCTGAAGTTCAGATAGTCAGCAGCAGGAGGCGCTCTGACACCATCAACTTTGATTCATTAATTAAATATATGCAGTGTCCCTGCAGCACAAAAGCGGTAAGTCGCTGGGGTATATTTGTAGCAATAGCCAACAATACATTGTATGGGTCAAAATTATACATTTCTCTTTTATGCCAAAAATCATTAGGATATTAAGTAAAGATCATGTTCCATGAAGATATTTTGTAAATTTCCTACCGTAAATATATCAAAACTTAATTTTTGATTAGTAATATGCATTGCTAAGAACTTTAAAGATGATTTTCTCAATATTTAGATTTTTTTGCACCCTCAGATTCCAGATTTTCAAATATTGTCCTATCCTAACAAACCATGCATCAATGGAAAGCATATTTATTCTCAATTTCAAAAAAATTGACCCTTATGACTGATTTTGTGCTCCAGGGTCACATTTAATGTCATTCTTTTTTTTTTTATCTTCAACTTTCCATCTTTAAAACGTGCATACCATTCAGTTTATTAATGAAAAGAAAATGTCAAATAATTATGTAGCCATAATTAAACATTTGTATTAATGTAATTTTGATATCAGTATCTGGCATCTATTTGCACATCATCTGCGTCTCAAGGGGGCGGGGATTATAAAAATATTAATTTGCAGCGAGACTCCGTAGCCAATAAAAAGCGGAATATGCTAATGAGCTGTTAACAGCTGTGGAACCGGAGTCCAGCCGCAGTTTGCGAGGACCCAGGACCGGAGCCGTTAACTCTCTCAAACTGACTGGATTTGATCATGGACACCACGGTAACCTCGTTAAAAACGGCTGTCGGTGTGGTTTAACGCGAAGTGCTCCGTAGATGAGTTCGCGGTGAAGGAGTCGGTAATAATGTTCCGCTTGTTCTCGCTGGCGGCGGCGGAGCGCGGCGGACAGAAGCGGCGGCTCGAGCTCAGTCTGGCGGGGATCTGTGAGCTCGAGCTGCTCAAGCGGCGGCACGAGGCGCTGGTGGCCGGGGCGCTCGCGCTGCACTCTCCCGAACCCGAGCCGAAGAAAGCCGAGCGGCCGAGCGAAGATCCGACCCCGCCGGTAAGACTTGTTACAGTGTCAGGATTAAGGATACTTTGGAAATGTAACAGGTTGCAGATATTTATTTTGTATTTAAATTACGTAATTCTGTTACATGTATCTAGTTCAGTGCTAAAAATGATTCTCTTACTTAGTATTTCTGTCTTGTTTTCTAGTATAAATATCTAAACATTCTTGAATCCATATGCGAAATAACTTAATATATTACGTTGTTTTCTCTCAAAAAAATATATATATTAAATTTTGTTAGTTTTTGTTTAAAACAAGCAAAAATATCTGCCAATGGGATAAGACAAATAATCTTAATTCAAAGCTAAACAAGATGATTTTTCTTGCCCCATTGGCAGATATTTTTGCTTGTTTTAAACAAAAACTAACAAAATTTAATATATATATTTTTTTGAGAAAAAACAATGTAATATATTAAGTTATTTCACTTGTACAGTAAATGCATATTGATTCAAGAATGTTTAGATATTTATACTAGAAAACAAGACAGAAATACTGAGTAAAATAGTTTTTGCAGTGTTCCTCCCCAACACTGGTTATGTAGGGAAGGTTACTTTGGAAATGTAATCAGTAATGTAACTATTTCAATTACTTTGTTAATGTAACTGATTACATTTGATTACTTTGACTACTTTTCTAAATTTCTAACAAATGTTTTTAACTGTTAATTAGGGCTGCACGATTATGACAAAAATCATAATTGTCGATTATTGCCTTGAAATCGTAATTGCGATTATTAATTACGATTATCACTATTTACATTGAATGATGTTTATGCCATTGTTTGACGCAACTGCATGCCGTATTTTTACATGAAAATAAACCAGCTGAAAACACTCGAACTGAAAAACCTTTAGTGCTTTTCTACAGTATTAAGCCTCAACTATACATCGGATTGGTTTCTTCTTTAAATTATAAAAGAAGTAAAAATATGAATGGTATTATAATGTTATACTAAAACTAAAACAATGGAAAAACCCTTAAGATAACATGTAGAAAGGATAAAACATATCTTAAGCGTGCAGAATAACATAAGTGGACTTTGAACGATTAATTGCCGCTTTGAACGATTATGCATCCGTAATTGTAATCGCGATTAGAAATTCGATTAATTGTGCAGCCCTACTGTTAATCATTTTCAAACATGTAAAGCAGACAGGGTTAATAGAAATAGTTTAATAGCTATGATACTGGTTTTGAAATCAAATTTTTGCATAGTTATGACCGGAAACACTGGCATCAATGCCTGTTAATCTTAAAAAATAAAGCATACACATAAACCCAAATAGAAAATAAAAGAGTTATCAAATAAGCATGTGTCCTAAACTCCTGAAACATTGCTGGCTCATATTTTAGAGCAGTCAATGCAATTTATTAAAGAAATAAATTAAATATGTATGTGGGTGTGTGTGTGAAAATATTCAGATGTAACCCCCTTTCTGAAAAATTTTCATTTAATTACACATTTTCCTTCAGTAACTGATTGCAGTTACATTTATTTTGTAAATAAATTACATAATTTCGTTACATGTAACTAGTTACTCCCCAACACTGGTTATATATATATATATATAATCACGAGAACTTTAAAGGTGCTTAAACCGATTAGTGAGTGAGTTTAATTAATTGAAAAATGTGGATTTTTTTTTTTGTCTCAAGAAATTGCTGAAAAATGTCTAAATAAATTACAATAATAATAATAATGACAACAAAAAAAAATACACATGGATTTAAACATGAAATTTGGAAGTAGAAACAATATTTTCTTGTAAAACATACTGCAATCTCTTTTATATACAACTTCAAAAAAAAATTTTTTTACAGTGTAACTTTCATATTCTTCTGAGAAACATTTGTTAAAGTTTGTAGTATATCATGAGCAGAATGCAAGAAAACTTTCACATTCCTCAGAGAAACATGTTCATTTGTCATCGGTGATTTATTGGCCCACAGAAGACTAATGTGGTTGGGAAGCTAAAAAGTTTGGTTTCAGAGATTTATTACACAAGAGAAAGAGTTTTGTTAAATTTCTCACAGGACTTCGGCTGTCAGGAAAGAGGTTTGTGTGTTTCCTCCTCCATCGAAACAAACCGGACATTCATAATAAAGCGTCATCATTCATAGATCAGATTCAAACAGCAGGTCTGTGAGAGTCTCTGCAGTCAGTATGAAAACTAGAAAGAGCCTCTGAACCAGTTTACAGCAGTTCTGGACCAGTGAAATGAACTGAAATGACCTAAACATGCTGGATTATTGTACAGTATACATCATATTGGCCTTGTGCTGTCGTTCTCTTCCCGTGTTTTTCTGAAGGATGGAGGTGTTGGGCTTTAGATTGAGACCAGATTGACCTGATGGTGTTTGATGAGGGTCTGGATCTGAACAAACCTCATCTGTTCTAAACAAGGGGCTGGACACATACTCACTCACTCACTCACTCACTCACTCACTCACTCACTCACTCACTCACTCACTCACTCACTACACACACACACACACACACACGTTTATTCCTGACAGCAATCTGGCACAAAACAACAACTGGAAACACTTCACACAATGCCCTCGTTTCATCCGTGTGTGAGACGGCTGTTTGCCTTGTGTAAACACAAGTGTGAGTGTGTGTGTGTGTGTGTGTGTGTGTGTGTGTGTGTGTGTGTGTGTGTGTCGCTGTAGTGCTGGTGGTCTCTCAGCGGCCGCTCTGATTGGCCAGCACCGCTGTAATTAACAGCCTCGTCTTTCTCCTCCTGAAGCTACAGTGAAATAATAATTGCAGCGTTCAAACCAGTGAATAATTGATAAGAAAGAAAGGTTAAATTGCAGTGGAGCTGAGCTGCTTCTCTGATTGTGAACCATGTTTTATTCTGCTCAATCCTGAGTGTTTAAGAGTCTTTCCACCTGCTCAACATGCAGTCCTAAAAATAAAGGGTGTTTTCACAGCAATGCCATGCCATAGAAGAGTTCTGGGTTCCTCAAAGAACCTTTCAGTGATCAATTCTTAAAAGAAAGTTTTTATATTATAAAGAACCTTTTGTGGAATGGAAAGCTTCAACACTCTTAAAAATAAAAGTATCTGTGGTTCCATGGAAAGGTTCTTTAGAAGATTAAAATGTTCTTCAGACTAAGACGAAGTTACTTTTGAAAAAGTAATGCATTACAATATTGTGTTACTCCCTAAAAAAGTAACTAATTATGTTACTTAATTACTTTTTATAAAAATACTGAGTTACTTTTTCTCACCTGGGCTGGGCTTGTTTGTTAATAATATAAAAGTTATATTTCTGGCAAATATAAAAGCCCTTTTGCATCAAAAGTGAAATGAATGAGCCTCAGGCTGAGGGAAATGTAGATTCAAAAAGCTGAAACAAGCTTTCTACTGTGCTGTCATTCTTGATAGCATGAAAAATGTTACTTGAAACATGTAATCTGATTACGTAACTCTCGTTATTTGTAATGCTTTACCCCCAAAATTGGAGGAGCCACATGAGTTCTTTGATTTAAGCATCTCTCTCTAGTTTGAAATTGTTCGTCGACTAGCTCATTCATTGCTTGTACACATTGTAAATATTTACTTTACTACTTCACTCTCTCTCGCACTTTAAAAGAAAATAAACATTGTGACTAAATTATTGATTTTGTTGCCGTATTCTCTTCTTGTGCAGTTCCTTTCGCACATGGATACGCACACACATAAATCTTGATGTACCACAATTGATTGATGAGGGACGTAACATTGATAGTGAAATGCTTTTGTCAGATTGATTGAATCTCGTTAGAGCCGTTCCCATGACAGTTAGTATGCACTTCACCAGGTTAAGCTAACAGCCTTAGTGCATGATCTTATTTAGGGGTGCAGGAGCCATTAGCAAACACACACACACACACACACACGCACTGCTGACATCTGACCTGTAAACACACACACACACACATGCACCCCTCCCCCAAGCACACACATACGGCATTCATACGTGCACCTCAGTAAGAACCTCTGAGTGAAAGTGTGTGTGTGTGTTTGAACTTGTGTGCTGTTGTATATTGGTTAGTTGCATTGCAGTAGGTGTTTGACGTGATGTCACAGGACCGGCTCTAAATGACAGACGGACTTTAGATGGATGAGTTTCTTTGGTCAGCTGGAGTCCAGTGGGAATGACATCTGTCCAGCAGTTAGGAGAATTAAAACACACACACACACTCGTCAGCTGTCAGCTGTCGCCCCTCAAACCTCACTTCTGTACTGATTTGATCTGCTGTTGTTCTCATTAATCAGTCTGTCACATCATGTGTGGCTACATAACTAGATAACATGTTCAGGACGGGTTGGTTTGGTCATGTTTAGCCAGCAGTGGTTGTCTGGTTACTGTTGTGCTTTAGTTAAGAGTTAATCTGTTACGCTGTGTGTGTGTGTGTGTGTGTGTGTGTGTGTTTCAGATGTGATCAAATACTGTGATTTATACACTGTATATATTTTTTTTAAATTAGAATAAAGTTTAAAACAAAGATTATTGGAGTATATTTTACAATAATTTTTTTACAAGAATTTTAAAAGTCTTTCCACTTAATAATTATTTTTGTAATTATTTGTGAAATTTACTAGCAATTTCTGAGTGAACAACATTGTTTTAAACTAAATCCTACTAATTTGTTTTTTCAGTGTTGGCCCCTATGAAATACACCCCACCCCCCAAATTCCATGTTTTAGTTTCATTTTAATGGTTTTTATTTAAATTTCCAGTGTGTATTCATTAAAAAGTGGATGTATAATGAATTGAATTCATAACTTTTTATGTTTTAATTTTTTTGGATTCTGTGATTTATGATTTAATACAAATTTATTGTCAAACACATTGGTAATCAAATAAATGCATAAATCTTTAACAGTTTAATTAATATTTTAAGATGTAAAAAAAATCTAATGTAAGTGCTGCACAACAGAATCTCACTGTTAGAAATAAAAATAGATGAAAAAATGAGTAATATTACTTTGAAATTATTTATAAATAAACTGTATTATTATTATTCTGTCATAATTTCTTCTAGCTGAACCGAACTTTTATTTTGGCGGGTTGTAGTGCAGTTCTTTGTGTTTCTGTGTATTCTGATAGTGTTTCTCAAAGTAAGTGGTGAAATGCTGCTGAAGTGATTCTCAGATGAAGTTGGTGTGTTGATGTGCTCATGTAGGGCGTGCTTTTGATTTATTCATACAAAATTTGACATTTATAAAGTGATTTAAAAAAAAAATGTTTTACTAGATTCTATGTTTTCGGCATTGCTGTAATCTTAGGGCCCTACGTTTACATCATCCTGGTCCAAGCAGAACATTTGAGCTCATTCTGGAGATGTAGATGGTCACAGTGAATTACACACAGGACATTACGTTCCTCTTGTTCCCAGAAGGCCGTTCTGCATTCTCAGCTCATCTGATTTTAATAAACCTACGCAGAGATCATTTCACACTCTCACAGCACTCACATTAACGCCAGACACAGGCGAGCCAGAATGCCGTGAGATAATGCAGTAATTAGGACACACACATGATGAGTGTGGAGTATTTATAGAGATCAGCTGATGGAGCGGCGTTAAGCGTCCTGATGTGAGCGTGTTGATGTTTTCAGGACGGCTCGTGGAGTCTGATGAACATCTTGCAGCATCAGGTGGGAGAGCTAAAGGTGGACACAGACAGCGGCTCAGTGGAGCCCCCTACTGACGCTGGAGACATTCCAGCCTCTTCAGGTATGGATAATGTTCACGTGATCACGTTACTAAGGACCTATGAAATCTGTTTTATTTTTTCCCAAATTCCGTTTTTTTTTTTTTTTTCTCCAAATTCCGTTTTTTCCTTTAAAATTTTTCTGGACTCCTTTTTAAATGGTTAAATAACATTGTATTAATCAAAAAGCATGTCTAATTGATTAAAATCATGCAACTTATACAATTTCAAGTTTTTTTTCTCACTGTAGTCACTGCAAAAAATATATTTTTAAAAATAATATTATTTATAAAATAATAGTATTTTTGTCTCGTTTTCTAGTATAACTATCTAAAAACTCTTGAATCAAGATGAATATACTGTACAAGTAAAATGACTTCAGATATTTTGTTTTGTGTAAAAAAAATATATAAAATTTGTTAGTTTTTCCTTAAAACAAGCAAAAATATCTGCCAATGGGGCAAGAAAATAATCTTGTTTAGTTATAAAATAATAGTATTTTTGTCTCGTTTTCTAGTATAACTATCTAAAAACTCTTGAATCAAGATGAATATACTGTACAAGTAAAATGACTTAAGATATTTTGTTTTGTGTAAAAAAAATATATAAAATTTGTTAATTTTTCCTTAAAACAAGCAAAAATATCTGCCAATGGGGCAAGAAAATAATCTTGTTTAGCCTTTGAATTAAGATTATTTGTCTTACCCCACTGGCAGATATTTTTGCTTGTTTTAAGGAAAAACTAACACAATTTTGATAATTACTTGTCAAGTAAATGCATGTTGATTCAAGAATGTTTAGATATTTATACTAGAAAACAAGACAAAAAATAAGTAAGAAAATCATTTTTTTGCAGTGTATGTTTTATTGTTACTAAATTCTGTGTTTTAACATGTCTAATTATTTGAATGTGGAATCAATTCCATAGTGGAATTGATTTTTAATGATAGCTTGTCTTATAAAGACGGACCTACTGTGAGCTGCGAGGTTGTAAATCAGTGTTATTTGCTTCTGTTGAAGCCATTTGATAAAGCATTTTCAACTAATTTTTAAATAATTGTGTTCAGTACTTGAATTCCTGGTTCATTACCTATAAAATATCCACCAGAATATCACGGCAAAAGAACATTTTCATGAAGCACTGCGAATGATGTAATCATAAACTTGAATGTCTTAATTATTGTTATGCGTATTTTGCAGAAAACTTAAAACATAGTTTCTATACTCGGCTAACAAGCAACGTTCTGGCAAGGTGTTCTCAAAGTTATGATATGAACAAACATTCTTCCAGTAACATTAATAGAACGTTCGTTCAAAGTTATCTGGTCTGTAATAATGTTCTTAAAACTTTAGCACTAAAGCATTATTTATACATCGTTCATTTATGGAATGTTTTTTCCCGAAACGTTTTAGTAGGATGTTCATCTAATGTTGTTTAAATGTTACTATTTGTTTCAGAACATTCCAAGAACATTCAAAAGTAACGTTTCGATAATACTTGTAAAATTATAAAATGGAATGTTAATCTCTTAATGTTCACATCGCCAAGAGAAAATATTTTAAAACATTAAAAAACTGGATGTTTTGAACATTCAGAGAACATTCAGAAATATCATTTTAATAACTTAATGTATGAATAAATTAATGAACGAATGATTGAATGAGGTATTTATATATGGGAATGTTTTTACCATACATAAATGCCAAAATATAAGAACATTTAAAAAAATAGACACAGATTTTCCTAGATCATATTTTTGTTTGCTAGGTATTTATAATCAACATCTTAGAATGAACAGTTTTACATTACACTTCTCCATTGTTTTTATTTTGATTATTCCATTGTCAATGCTTCATGGGATTGTAGTTCTTTCCTTCATTTAAGTCTTAAATTAAGTCGCTTTGTGTCCTGATCATTAGGGTTTGTTTTACCATAATAACGTCTGACTGTACATCATCTCTTATATCTCAAATTCAGTGCTTTTCGGCTGGACGATTTCTCAGATTTTATTGATTAATTTGAATGTTTTGCCACGATTTCATTTTTTTTTACATAGAGGAATTGTGGTTTTGAATAAAAATATTAGCAAACGTTACAATTAGACACATTGCCAATCTTCCAGTGCTGAGCGCCGCGTTTTTAGACGCTGTTTAATGAATGAGACGCTGCAAAAAACGCAAGATGCAACTCAATGGTCAAACGCGTCCGTCAAGCGCATGTTTACAAAGAATAGCAATGGAAAAGCGGAAAGCTGTGCAGAACTGCTACTGTATGTCTAAAATTGATGTTTGATGATGCTGACAGCTGCTGCTGTTTACATTCACTGTTAATAATCATCTATTACTGCTGTTATACTGACAGTCAAGAAGAGTCTGAGTCATCTGGACTTTATGAGTCAATCTCTAAAACTCTACTCTACTCTAACCTCTAAAACAAGGTCTACATTATGGCCTTTATGTTTCATGCATCTTTCTGCAAAGATATTTAACAAGTGAATTTGTTTTACGTTTACAGCATGTTAAACTGTAATCCACTATCCAGTGGGCCAACCTCTGCTTGGAGACTGACCTCCGTAACAGACAAAGAGCTGTTCAGAGCTTCTGAAGCTCCGGGTGTGGTCCACGTATATGATCAACGCTCTTACGGGACACAGCAACGCTAAGGCTGGGTCTGCCTCCTCCAAGGGCAGTGCTTGCAGGTTCACCACCTGATCGCGAAAAGGCGTGGTGGGAACCTTGGGAACGTATCCAGGCCGGGGTCTCAGGATGACGTGAGAGTAGGCCAGCCCAAGCACAAGGCACTCTTCGCTCACCAAAATGCTTGGAGGTCCCCAACCCTCTTGATGGAAGTGAAGAACACCAGTTCACAAACAGACTCCACTTTAGTGCATAGGCTTGCCTCGTAGAGGGAGCTCTAGCCGGAGTGATGGTGTCAACCACCACCGGTGGCAGATCACTTAAGTCTGTCGCGTCCCGTCCAGGAGCCACACCTGGAGGTCCCAGAGATCTGGACGCAGGTGCCGAGCCCCTGAGAAAGAAGATCCTTCCTCAGAGGGATGCACCAGGGAGGGGCTGTTGCGAGGAGAATGAGTTCCGAAAACCAGGTCCAGGTGGGCCAGTAAGGCGCAACAAGACCTGTTCCTCGTCCTCCCTGACCTTGCACAGTGTCTGTGCGAGAAGGCTCATTGGGGGAAACGCATATTTGCGTAGAGCCCGAGGCCAGCTGTGTGCCAGTGCGTCCGTGCCGAGAGGGGCCTCAGTTAGGGAGTAATACAGCTGGCAGTGGGAGGATTCATGGGAAGCAAGCAGGTCTACCTGGGCTTCCCCGAATCGACTCCAGATCAGCCGGATCGTCTCGGGATAGAGTCGCCATTCTCCGGGGAACGTGAGCTGTCGTGAGATCATGTCGGCTGCACGATTGAGCTCCCCCAGAATTTAGATGGCGTGCAGCAACTTGAGACGCGTCTGATTCCAGAGGAGGAGATGACGGGCGAGCTGTGACATGCGATGTGATCGTAGACCTCCCTGCCGGTTGATGTACGAGGCAGCCGCAGTGTTGCCCGTGCAGACCAACACGTGCTTGTCTTGCAGCAGTGGCCGAAACTGCCACAAGACCAGATGCACTGCCAACAGCTCTAGGCAGTTGATGTGCCAAAGCAGTCGAGGCCCTGTCCAGTGCCCCGAGGCTGCCTGCCCGTTGCATGTAGCGCCCCAGCCCGTACTGGATGCATCCGTCGTGACAACGACGTGCCAGGATACTTGTTCTAAGGGCACCTCGGCCCGTAGAAAGGCAAGGTCCATCCATGGGCTGAATAGGCGGCGACATTCCGGCGTGATGGTCACGCGAAGTGTGCCGTGACGCTATGCCCATCTCGGGACTCGGGAATGTAACCAGTGCCGAAGTGGTCTCATATGAAGCAATCCGAGCGGTGTGACTGCGGCTGCAGATGCCATATGCCCCAAGAGCCTCTGAAAATGCACTGACTGGGCACACTCGTTGGTGAGACGCGCCGTCATATCACCGAGTCTAACTCCATATCAAGAAAAGAGATTTTCTGCACGGGGGAGAGTTTGCTTTTTTCCCAGTTGACCAGAAGCCCCAACTGGCTGAGGTGCCGGCGCACCAGGTCCCTGTGATCGCACAACTGCTCTCGTGACCGGGCCATGATGAGCCAGTTGTTGAGGTAGTTGAGGATCCTGATGCCCCCTTCCCATAACGGTGCAAGGGCGTCCTCTGCGACTTTCGTAAAGACACAGGGGGACAGGGACAACCCGAAGGGGAGGACCCTGTACTGCCATACCCGACCCTCGAATGCAAACCTTAGGAACGGCCTGTGTTGAGAAAGAATCGAGACATGAAAGTAAGCATCCTTCAGGTCGACCGCTGCAAACCAATCCTGAGGCTGGATGCATCTGATGATGCGCTTCTGCATCAACATCTTGAATGATGCGCAGATCCAGGATTGGGCATGATTAAGTAAGGGCTGTAAAACCCTGACTTCATCTCGGCTGGAGGGACAGGCTCAATTGCATCCTTCGCCAGTAGGACAGCAATCTCGTCGCGCAGGACAGGGGCATCTCGAGCTGCCACCAAAGTCTTGAGAACGGCGCTGAACCTGGGGGTCGCCTGGCGAACTGAATCGCGTAGCTGAGCCAGTGGGACTTGTTGGGCAGCACAAGCCACGCTTCCAAGCTCCGTGCAAGCGACACCAAAGGGACAATCGACGCACCCACGGTGGTGCAGCAGTGAGAAGTCATGCTGGATTGCACAGAAGGCATCGCGTCCTGGCTCATCACAGCAGGACTCCCCGTGTTCCCGGAGGGACTGGCCAGAGATTCGTGGAGAGGCAACGCGTCCCCACGCTGCGATCTCTTGGCTGCTGGCGATATGGGGCGTCGGGGGCAAGAATGAGGAGGCAACACGTCGCTCACTGCCAACCCACGAGCCTGATAGCCTTTTTAGAGGACTTAGGGGCTGGCTGGGACACGGGGGGCGGCGCCGCAGTCCTCCAAGAGGCTCCATGCGCCAGCCTCGACAGTGTCTCAGCACAGGGCGGAGGCGGTGTTCAACAGGGACACTGCTGTTTGTGCCGTAACGCCAACCAGGAACAGCTTCTTTCTTCCAGTCAGAACGAAAAGGCTTTGTGGAGAAGAAATCATTCACCCACTTGGCTCCAAAGCAAAAATCTGAATGAGTGGATGCACCTGTCGCCTATTTATACCTGTATGCACAGGGAGTGGCTCAGGTATGCAAAATCCACTAGCCAAATTTCCTTGGCGTTTTCTCTTAATCAGAGAGGATTCGGGCTCCCAAGTAAGACCCCTAATGTCGTCATCGACATAACTCGAAGTGACCGACAGATAGGGAACTTACTTCCCAGTCCAAACAGAGCTTTAATTGAAACTAAGCTGCAAAACAGCACATTCTAAACTTTAATAACTTTATGTTCTCTTAAAGTCAGAGCGGATTGGGGCTCTCAAGTAAACCCCCCATGTAGTCACGACATAACTCGAAGTGACCGACAGATAGGGAACCATATATTGTCGTGGTCCTGTGTTTATTAGTCACGTTGAATCAATGAAAGCAGTTAAATCTTCTGTTTATTCAGCTACCGCTATAGGGATTTTCTGGATTTCTTCTGCGGGGCATATTTGGAGTAATTTTCTTCTGCAGGGCGTATCCTCTGGCCTTCAGATGGAGATTTCCAACTGATCACAGAACTGTGCTTTGCTGACAAGATGCACGCATGAATATCGCAGCTTTTGCTTAATATCGATTGCGATTTATCGTGCAGCCCTACCCAGAACACAATTTTGATTTAGGTGGAACCTCTGGGAAGGAGGTTTTGATCCCTGGAACGCGATTTTGGAGCAGTTTTGATTTTCTCTCAGTACACATTTGGGCTAAATTTAAATATCAGTTGTGCTGGTTTTGTTATGCAGACCTGGCAACCCTGTGTAACGTGTGTGTGTGTTTTCTGTCAGGTTTTCCTGAGCAGGCTGAGGGTCTGTCTGCTGTCGGCCCGTCCGACACTTCTGGTCTCGGTGAGATCCGCCCTGTCCGGCTTTCTGAGAGACCCAAGTCTGTTGGTAAGCGGACCACCCATATCCTCCCTACACACACACTTACAGAGATCCAATTCACTCCATGTGGCTTCAGTGCCAGAAATCTGAAACGCCTAACCTTCATGAGGATGAGATGATGATGAGAGAAAAGTACTGAATTTCACTCTTTAGTTCTAGACTGTCCTTAAGATGTACGGAAAGTGTGTTGTATTTTGGCAGTGAAATGGTTAAACCAGAGACTTCCTGTCAGACATCTCTCACACACACACACACACACACACACACAGTGTCATGAGACCTTAAAGCTTCAGTGTGAAAATACATTCCTGTTGAAAGAAAGACCCTCTCTGTTAGATGGAACACAGACACACACACACACTCTCTCTCATAAACACACACACACACAGACTGAAGCGCAGTCTCACATGTATAAAGGCCGTGTTGTGTTGGACGTTTAGACATGTAAATATATATTAGGGATGCAACAATACAGTTAGCCCATGGTTCAGTACATACCGGTTCTGATGGCTTGGCACGTCAGAGTGTTATTTGCAATTTAAAATGTGTTTTTCAAAGCAAATGATCAAAAAAGACCCGTCTGTACACTGAAGAAAAACATGGATTATCATAAGGGGTGGAATGGTTCGCGGAAAAAAATCGAACCGGAAAAAAATCGAACCGTACGGTTCTCCACACACTAGGACCGCGGTTCAACTTAAATCTGACAACGCATCTGTAAAAAAAAAAACGTGGACAAACCATTCGCTCTTGTTAAATGCGAATGCCGTATGCTGGAATATGAGCAGTCATTTATTCAGTCATCACCCGGGTGCTGATAGTGCACGTGCACAGATGAGACTTGAACAGCACACGTTGATATCCGTGTTTAAGTTAAAACTAAATAGTTTAAACTAAACTCATGTAAGCTTTGCCAGTTTAAACATTTAAGAGCCAGAGGACGCGAGCTTGCGCGCGCAGTGAAAAGATTTGAGCGTGCGCTCATCCGAAGCGTGCAAACCCACGCCTAAGAACGTGCGCAAATATTAAGCTCTCTCTGAAATATTGTTTAAATGGACAAATTCACACAAAATTTGTCAAAATGCCCGTCTTAGTAAGTATCCTCTAACTTTTATTTTAGATGCAATTAATCGCGATTAATCGTTTGACAGCAGTGTAATGTTTAAATAGACTAAATAAAATGAGTTGTTCTACTGACATATCTGGACTGGACTTTATTATAAGAACATTATCCACCTTATTCTTCCCGGGAAAATGGCCCATTTTCCCGTAAAGCCATTTCTAAATTTTATGGGTCTTGCTTCCAGTCTCATTTGCTTTCAGCTATTTTTAGCTGTACAAAACTGCTTGTTTTGCTGCTTGATATTGCAAATTGGTTTGTCCTATTATATTATTTTAGTGTATTAACTTAATCATGAACACACTGGTTTGTAGTGCAAACAGTTTTACCGTTTACTGCACATTGTCACTCTTCTCGTTATTTCTCTGTAGCGGCTAATGAACCAGAAGTCTCGCCCATAGGCTTACTTCTGCATTTAGGAATAAGGTGGATAAGCACTAATCTGTGTTCGTTTAGGTTGAGGCTGCTGTATGTTGTTTTCATGCTAACTGTCAGCGTCTCACTCTGCAGGTGACGTATTCGTCAGCTGTGAGCTGAACGCTCGCGCCACGGTTCCCTGCTCTTTCTCTGCACCCTATCCGCCTCTAGAGGGCATCACTGAAGACGAGCCGTGGATCTGGCATCCCAGTGAGGACGCAGAGGAGGAAGAACCCGGCGCAGACGACTACAGACAGACGCAGCATGCCGAAACGTACATCCTCGGCATGATCCAGCACCGCTTGCCTCCCGCCCGACCCACCAAACCCCGCACCAGCCTGGGACCCGAGGCCCGAGCCGTGGTCCGACAGAGCAGCCTGTGCCGCATGGATCTGGCGTACATCCCCGAGGAGAGACATGCATGCTATCCCCGACTCGCCGGGATCCACTGCGGCGCTCTGGATCCCAGCAGCAGCGAAGCCGAATCCTATCATAACGCTCGCTCGGCATCGTCCGACGAGCTTGTGAACGCGCAATACATCCCAGCGCAGCCGTGCCACGCTCAAACCGTCGCGCACCGAACGCACGCCGCTCCCAAACCCACCACCTCACAGCTCAGAGCCACGGCAAAGAAGTGCCGCTTCACGGAGGACAAGATTGCGCAGAAGAAACCCGGACGAAAAGCATGCCGCGCTCAATCAGAGAACAGCCTGCTTGGGCAAAGAGAGCGCAAATATAACACTATGGAGCGTGACTCTCAAGCTAAAACACGCCGCGGCTCCGGTCACCGTCGCTGGCGTTCCACGCTAGAACTGAGTCAGGACGAAGCCGAGATGCCTTCTGAGCAGCCAATCAGACGCTTGCGCAAACCTCGCGTCTATGCCCAACCGCACCTTCATCATCATCTTCATCAGTTCCCGCCAGACGGCTACGTGCTCCGAGAGTCGGAGTCCAGTCTGAGCGAGGCCGAGTCGCCCGGCTCCAGCTCGCTCTCCAGCGACTCCGACGAGAGCGGCGGATTGGTCTGGCCGCAGCAGCTCAATCCACAGCTGGCTCCACCCTCTCCATCACACCCGCCGCAGCCCAAAGCCTTCGTGAAGATCAAGGCGTCGCATGCACTCAAGAAGAAGATCCTGAGGTTCAGGAGCGGATCACTCAAAGTCATGACCACCGTATGAGCGACAAACACCGGCCTAATCACAGTGAACTGAAAGCAGTTTGAATTGAAGTGGCAAACAGGGTGACCCTTCGCAGGGAGTTTGATTGACAGGTGGTCTGACCAATCATAACGCCGAATCTGCTTTTACAACATTACAAAATCTGTTGAAATCTGCTTTTGTCTGACAAACAAACCAGACAGGACAGTACATTAACGTCGGTGGACTTTTGAAAAACGGTACATTGACATCTTTACAGAGTTAAAACAAGATACCTTCTGATGTTCATTCATGTTTATTTCATGCTTTAACTAGTAAAGAGGAAGAGACTATCAGTTCACGTTATGGTTGCAAAAAGGTGGAAAATTTCCAGTAAATTTCGAAAACATTCCAGAAATGTTCGAAAATTTCCAGGATTTTTTGGAATCTTCCAGGGATTTTTGGAAAGTTTTTGGAAATTTACTGGAAATTTTCCACACTTTTGCAACCCTAGTTCACGTGCAGCTTGAACTGAAGCGTTTCAGTGATTTGTCACGTACACACTGCAAGTTTCATGAGTGACAACTGCATTTAAATGCGGGAGTGAGTCCAGTAAATTATCATTCCATGTGTGTACGGAACAGCAGTCACTCCCGCATTTGTAACCACAGCAACATTTTGTCGTCTTGCGGGAGTGAATAAGAATTTAGCCGTTTGGTATCTGCCATTTGACTCTTTTTATCTGTCGATTTTAACTAAACTACCGCTGATAGACATGCTGTGTTTTGTTTATGCTCGGGAGGCTGCTTTAGAGAACGCTGTCTTGCAGTGTTGCCATATCCTCTTTTTACAAGCGCTTTTAGGCATGTTGTTTGGTCTTAGCTCATAAAGATAGGCACTTTATGGAGTTAATAAAGTGGTCTGTTGCGGATGTGAGATATATGATTTTTTTGGTGTTATAAAACGTATAGCATTTGGGTGTTTTAGTGTTTTTTTTGTGCTTGTCCTTGTTTGTTGTTGTTTTTGTTTTTTCTATGAAGATCTGGCAACGCTAACACTTTGCTGCAATTTTAGCTGCAGTGTGTATGTGGCTACTCAAGAGCCCCAAACACGTTTGAATTTCTTAAAAAATAACAACTGTAATATTGTGAGATATTATTTACATTTCTAATATTGGTTTTCTGTTTTAATATACTTTAAAATATAATTTATTTATTATCCGTGCTGGAAACAGTTGCGCTCTTTCATGTTTTTATTTTTTTGGAAACTGATACTTTTTTCTGGATTCTTTTATGAATGAAAAGTTAAAAGGAACAGCATTTATTTAAAATAATTTCTAACAATATGAGTCTTTACTACCACTTTTTATCCATTTAACACATCCTTGCTGAATGAAAGTATTCATTAATTTCAAAAAATTAAAGAACAAAATTTACTGACTCCAAAGCTTTTGAACGGTAGTGTATATTGTAACACAAGATTTACATTTTTTTATTTTATATTCATAAAAGAATCCTGAAAAGTATCACAGGTTCCAAAAAACATGAAGCAGCACAACTGTTTCCAGCACGGATAATAAAGCAGCATATTATACTGATTTCTGAAGATCATGTGACACTGAAGACTGGAGTAATGATGCTGGAAATACAGCTGCGCATCACAGGAATAAATTACATTTTAAAGTATATTAAAATAGAAACTGTTATTTTAAATTGCAATAATATTACACAAAATAACAGTTTTTTTCTGTATTTTTGATCAAATAAATACAGCCTTGATGAGCACAAGAAACTTCGGTAAAAAATATAAAAAATCTTACTGATCCCAAACTTTTGAACGGTAGTGTATATACATTTCCCTAATAATGCCTTAATTTACCCCAAAATCTTCCAAATTGGAGCTAAACAGCATTAAGCAGCTCACAGATCAAATCTTTATTTCTGGTCTGTTTATGTTGGACTCATGAACTTTCTCTGTTGTGTTGAATTTCTTTAAATTGCGGTTCAGTAAATTCCTCCTCCTGTCGTTCCAGTTGAATATCCTGTGTGTTTTGGCCAATTCAATTCAAATTCACTGTTTCATTTTGATGAATACTAGTGACCGATGACACATCTGATGTGTAGCAGTGTCATTTTCAGCGGTGCTTCTGGACTGAACGCGGCTCACAGTGATGTTCATAATGAGACGGTGATGCTTTAGTGTTTGTTTGGGGAGAATCAGAGGATGAGAGAAACTCAACATGGCTCTGCAGATTCACTCTTACTGACTTAACACGCAACACTCAAAAAACCGAAATGAAACCCTGCTGAACGCATCACACGTGTAAATGCCTGTAAATGTTCCCTGTATTTATGAATGTAAACTGTAAATAAAAACCTGCGGCCACGTCTGCATGATCGGACTTCTGAACTGTGCTGCTGAGA